ACTTCTCTGGTTCACAGCTGCAGAATGGATTAATTTTATTCTCCCCTGAATGAGATCTTCAGTACCACCATAACTTCTAACTTGGAGCAGAATGCAGATACTACAAGACCAAAATTATTACATCATCAGACAGTGTAGAAGAGAAACAGGAACAAAAATGGATAAAATGCTACGACTTGATTCAGCAAAAGCATTTATGTGCATATTAGCCTTAAGCATCCCTACTTAGTGAAGCACTAAAGCATGGTCTTGGGCTTCATTGAAGTAAATGGGATTTACACAGGTCCTGAAGGTAATCACATGCTTCACTGCTTCATTAAATCAAAATACAAGTATTACATGGCAAGGTTTATCCTCAGGGAATTCCATTGAAATACAGGGTGAAACAAACCTATAAATTATTTTAAGGTATTTATTATTAAAATGCACACAAAAAATGTGCTAAGAGGACCATAGGTTGCAGAAGAGCTCAGCCTCAGAATAGCACTTTGTTTAACAAGATATCTGAGACATAAGACCTGTTTAAGTGTAAAATCAGAAGTAACTACAGTAAAAACAAGGCTGACACAGCTGAGATCAATATTAAACCCCAGAGAAGGGGATTTTCTAAAAGTATGGGGGGAGGGGAAGAAAAATGGCAGAACAGGTCCCCAGAGAACATGATAAATGATGATGGGTTAGGCAATATAGTTCTGCTTCCAAAAGCCAGGCTTAATCCTCACTCAGGAGTAGACATTGTGCCATGCATTTAATCTATGCCTTAGAGAGAGTCAAAAGGATCAAAAGCATCACACAGATATTTAAAGGGAAAGGTCATAGTCCCACTGAGAACTAATGACTACATCCGTTCCTGCAAGCATGGGGATTTCTGGTGAGGGAGCTAACACTGCAGTGTTTCTAGCGTTAACTCTGCCTATAGGGTGTTTGCTGTCACATCAGCTTCTTGAACCCTTTCCCTTTGCTCCAAACTACCCTCATGCTGTGAGCTAGCAGCTCCCCATGTTTCTCCTACAGCTTTTCCATACCTTTCAGCAAAGGGATTTCTTTAACAAAACTAAGCTCTGATCAGATCACCCGAAGCCACTGCAATGTCTCAAAACTACCAAACCCTTTGTGGTTACAGAAGAATTGTAGAGAGCTGCTATAATTTAAGAGCAGGGATTTTTTTTCCACTGTAGTGGTTCAATGTGTGTTGTGCGCACACATGTGCTTCAGCACAGATGGAGAATCAAATGAATATCAGACCCTTTGGTGTGAGTTCAAATTTCCTGAAGGTGTTGGAATGTCTGTAAAACATCAGATGCCCTTTTGGTTGTTTTTTATAAATACATTTTAATTCTCTGCTGATTTGACATTTCACTTTATTTAGGAAAAATGCAGGAAAAAATGGTAACATCTTAAAAAAAGTTATTACAGAAAAAAAGAACAGGGAAAGGGAAGGAGGCTTCTATGTCCCTGGCAGCTACCTGTGTTTCTTATGCAAAGCCACCTATGATTCTTCTACAAGCACAAACAAGCCAGGTTTTCTTTGTGTTCTGTCCAGAAAGGAAGTTAAAAATATGTACATCTACTCCAAAGCTATTAATCTATTTTATAAGATTATTGGGGGAGTAGAGAACCATTGTCATCTTTCTTAAAATAGATTTTCCCCAAAGCTTCAGGAATCTTTAAAGTAAGGTTTAAGATATTCTTTCTTTTTTCTTTCCTAACATATTCTCTTAAAAATAGTTACTTTAACACTGATTAACTTTTCTGCTAATTATATAATTTTTTCTGTTTCTTCAGAAAAACAGGAAATATTTCCCAACCTACTGCCTTTAGAGCCCTGCATAGATGGCATTAGTTTCAGCTTCCTACTGCCAACCCAGACCCACAGGACTGGATGAGCTGTGCACCCTCAAAGGCTGAAAGTTAGGTTACATGAAATAGTTTCTAAATGTAAGAAAAGTAAGAAGAAAAAACCAACAACAATCTCTGAACCTTCAGATTTTCCAAAATGGTTTTAAATGCACATTGAAAGTAACATAAGGCAAAAGAGCAACAAAAATCAGAGTCAGGCCCCTAAACAAATGTCATCACTGCTTAGTCAGGGTGTTAATTATTATCACAAAGTGAGGAAACCACAGAATTCTTGGACCAAACACATGATTCATGGGGAGAGAGTAGTACAAGCAAACCAAAAATACATCATTTTCCATGGAACTATCTAACCTACTACAATACAGCTTGCATCCCAAGGTTACTACAGCCTTCCATGTGCCTCTAATTTATTAACTGTCTCAGCTATGAGATTACAATGTCATTAAGAAGGAGCTTGGTGTATAAAATCTACATCCATTGTATTATGACACTAACACTGGAGAAACATCCTTTTCCCATATTCTCACATTTGCAATTCTTTTAAGTCTTTTAAACTAAGATATGCAATTATTTCACATGGGAAATAGTGTATATGGTCTACCCGGTGGCTGAGCCATGCACATGGTGAAAACCATGTCCTTTTCAGTGAAATACAGCACAGGGAAAAGTGATACATATAGTTCAAAAGTTATCCCAGAGAATGACAAATACCAGGGACTGCACATTAAGTCAGCAGAAAGGCCACAGTAAGTAGCTTCTGAAGAATCTGTCTAGAACGTATTCTCTTTCTCCCTTCTATCTCAAGGTGATTTGTTACCTGAATCTTAATAAGAAAAAATACCACCATATCCTAGTATGCATCTAATAGAGGAGCATTATATAGCTGTGCCACAGAGATTTTATTAATGGACCAAGCTAGCTATTTACAATGTTCAGAGCAAAATGAAGATTAGGAAGTTCACTGATCTGTTCTCTCAGAATTAAGAAGGACAGATCCTTTCCTGGTATGAAGTCATCACAATGAGAATTTTTTAGAGCATCTCCTTGCTATATACTGATGTCGTATATGATAAAAAGCTAAGCTGACAAATTCAGGTTATGTCTCTATTACCACATTTACCTGAAGTAAATAGACACAGTGCCAGATCTTATTTTTAGTTTGCTAACAAGTAATATTTTACAGTTATGTACAGACAAGGCAAGGAAAAATCTGCAAGTGCCTTACAAAGGTGATTGATAGAAAAAAAAATCACAGATTAGAACTTCCAGTCAACTTTACTAAACCCCTGGAAATTCCTACCAACAAAGTCCTAAAACTGGTGTACTGAATGCAGTTAAACTGCTTTAGTTAACTGAGGTCATTTGGCATTAGCAACTTAAGGTAACTTGCCCAGCTTAACTTAAACCAGGTTTAACATGGTCTAGTTTTTCAACTGACCCAAAGCAGTTCCATTCCTATATTTTCTAACTGATGTACAAATTAATTATTTTAAATGTCGCATACTTAGAAACTTGCAAGCAAAGCCAATGCTGCACAAACCACACCTTTCCTTGAATTTATTGCCATCTTTTTAGAAAGTTTATTTAAAAGAATATAACCCAAATATGTGTTTTTCTATGAAACATACTTTTCAAGTTCATTTTGCCAGAGAAAATACTCATTTTCCAGAATGGCATATTTCATTCACTACCAAAGAGGAGTGACTGTAACATAAAACTAGTGACTCCTTTAGAAGAAAGAGAAACAATTTGACATGGTAGGTCTGGTATCCTTCTGCGATATCAAATGAAGCCCTATATTTTCAAAATGATGCATGGGAATTTAAGCACGTGGTGCCCATTAAAGGCAATGCCAGCTCTCATGGTTTATGAGGTCACCAGAAGTCCTTGATGGAATTACACCCTTGTCCTGTATGGCTTATTCTCTTGTATCACAGAGTCTGAACAAAAGCCTATAAAGTCAACAAAAATGTCTGCAGTCAGTTTGGTCAGGTTGAGATCAGGTATTTCCACTACAAAGAGGGAAATGAGGGAAAAAAAATACTGAACAATTGTTAGTTTAACAGTGTGGCATGGGTCCTGTTCTGATACATACTCCTGTATAGTAAGGGGGAAATAATGTCTTCCTGTCATCGTGCTGGAGGCATCTAATGAAAAAGAGAAACACTGAGGAATATTCCTTGGAAAAACAAAAGGACATCCTGTGAGAATGCAATTACAAAGTCATTCTTTAAACATACCTAACAGTTGTCATATAACAAACACAATATACTTGAGTAATAAATACTCTGGGCTCTTTGTGCATCACCTGCATATTTAGAATTTGCTGTATTGGTGCACATCTGTCAGTTTTGTATTTACTGAACTGAATCTTTTAATAGCAATCACACACTAATAACACTCAACTTCCAAAAGTGAAACATAGCACCCAATTTGCACAAAGACTTTGCACATTGTTGTGTTTTAAAACACTCAGTAGTTAATAAAATACTGTGGTCTATTGCCATATTGATTTTCATATTCTCTCAGTTGGAATATGATCTTGCTTTAGCAATAAACTGATATGTTGATTGAACACTTTCCAATTCTCTAGCTTTCAGGTAGTGTTCCTGGGGCTATATCACTAAAACACAGTGACTTGCTATAGTTTCCTGAATCTATGTATGTAAGATACAGTGATTTTATTCAGAAAGTAGGTGCTTGTCATGCTACATGATAATATTCCACATTAAAAGATGGGCCAGCATGTTTCTAGGAGTTTGTGTGCCTATCTGACATAGTCAGGATTCTATCAGAATATAAAGTGTCCTAAGCCAGTTAAGAATTTAGTGAGCAATTTCTATGCACACACACATTCATACACCTACACCTCACAAACAAAGATCTAGAAAAAAGCAGCATGTGTGGTATAGTTAGGTTCTGGGCTACCCTGGCCAGTCAAAAACATAGACAGTGCAACAGCAACCCACAAAATCAAATCAGAGAGAGAAAAAAAAAAAAGCAAAAAAAAGCTGATGCTTAACATGACACCTCTCTGAACTAGGGGATATAGATGACACAAATATAGCTGTACTGCTTCTGTATTCAGGTGTCTTCATACTCAGTGCCCTATCTGTCCACAAGCTGGATAGGTCACCTACCAGAGAAGTGTGAATTAACCATACCGGGAATGCAGCGCTGTATCAAATGAACTTCTGTAGCAGCTGTGAAGGCTGTGGCAAAGTTTCAGTGCCTTTGAATGGCTGATCTCAATGGTACCATGGCTTTTCATTTTCCAAGAAAGATTCTTTGAACACAAGTTGGAGTATACTTTCTTGTGTCTTTTGTTTTAGTCTCTTAGTATTCTTTGGAAAGAAAAAAAAAAAAAAAAAACAGTAAAGTTCAGAGTGGGGGCAGCTTTTTCATTACAGAGGATTGAATCACCCGGTAAAGGACAAAGTTTACAGCAGGAATCCTGTGAAAGAAGCATTGTGTACATATGTTCACATCCAAACCTTATGATATAGCCTGTAATATTTTACTTTTTGCAGCCAGACTGCTTTCCTTGCCTTTGCTTAAATGAGCAGTCAGAATATACACAGCTGGCCTGGGTTATTCCCTTCTCTCATAATCTCTTCACCCTTCTGAACATCAAGCCCCAGCTAAATTTTACTGGTAAAGACAACACTATGCAGAAGAAGAAATACGCATTCTTTGTGCTGTACAGCTGAGCAGGGCTAATAAAATGTCCCGGGCAACAACTTAGAAGGTGTAAAGGAAAGGGTGGTGCTGCAGGTGGTTCTGGGAGGGGTGGGATGCTGGCTGTGAGGGGGACGTGTCTGTCACTGAGCTGAAGCCGATGCCAGCCGTGCTGCACGGTTTGCACAATGCTACCCCGAAAGTGACTCCTGATTTGTGCAGTGCTTGACTTCCATCCGAGGGCATTTTGTATGAGCTGAGGTGAAGGTTGTTTGAAGTCTTCTTCTAAACATAACTCAGGTATTTGGCACGGGTAAATCCTCTGTGAGCAGCACAGAATCACTACTTAGGAAGCCGCTATCTCCAATGCCCTATTTCTGAGGCAGTGTTCACAGCCCTGATACAAAGGCTGGAGTATGACAGACATGCAGCCACAGCGCCCAGGCTTTTAAGGTGCTTGCGTAGAATGAAAAGACTGAAATCGGTATTCTAGGGTTGCCCCTTGAAGGAAACCTTACAGGTCTTCCCCCCTCACGCCGTGCAGGGCCCGTTGTACCGGTGCTCCCGCCACGCTCCCCGTCGTGCTCACCCGCAGCGAGCTCCCGGCAGCACAGATCACCAAGCAGTCCAACGGCCAGGTACCTCAGCCGGCCGGTGCGGAGCATGGCCGCTAGGAGGAGCCCCGCTTCCCGCCGTGAGCAGGGCGGCCATTGCCATGAAGCAGAGCAAGGCTGGGGCTGTGGGGGGCGTGTGGGGCGCGGGTGTATCTCCTTGTACCGTACGGTCCGCTGTCAATGCAACGTGGAAAATGTTAGTAAATCTCAGTGTGGAGGGCAGATTGGTTGCCATTCAAACCGAAATGGTTTCCAGGGTAAAATCAAGCACTCCACCAGCACTTTTTGGAGAACACAGCGATTTGTGCAAGCCATTGCTGAGGATACCGCATTTAAAGGACAATTAAAATAACCCCTTCCGTGCAAAATCTCCAGGTTGCAAATGGAGTGGCTGTGAGGATCACTTGTTGGAATTAAGCAGAAAGCTAAAAGAAAAATGTAATTCACAAGTAAAAATGAAATAGCTGAGGAAAGGTGCTTTTTTTTTTTTCGCCCCTGCCGTTCTAAATCCATGTTTCTTTCTGAAAAGTATCATTATTTTCTCATTCAGTATTTTTAAATTAGTTTTACAACTTTTTCTGCTCCAAATAATTGACTCAAAATGGATGCATGAAAACAGACTCATGTAAGCTTTGAGATTAGGATCACAGAGCTATAGGATAGGAAAAACTGAATTAATTCCTCAGTGAAAAAAAAAGCATAACTCAAGAAGATATGATTTATTAGGAGGAAAAGTAACTCATGCTTTCCTGTTAAGTTATAATATGAATGGTAGCATTTTGAACTCTTGGCCTAAAATAGTTATATTGAGCTTTGATCCTTAGGACGTTAACAGACAGGAAGCAGAGGAGTGAATTGGGGTGAATTTAATAGTATCCAGAGATAGAATAATTAACCCTTATGGTGCCTATTAGCAGCTAGGGTCTGAAGGAAAATTATATAGAAAAATAAGACCAGGAAGGGAAAACAGGTATTTCTGAATATTATTAGGTATATAAGTTTTTGAAGAGAAGATTATGACATCCTTCCTTAATATGAGTCATGAAGTGAAGGCCAAGTTTGTCTTATCATCCACCAAATAAGATATCTGTTTGCAAATAGGCTGAAAGGTTGTAGGCCACTGGTTGCTGTCACTGCTCATTTCTTGAGACTTTATTCTCTTCTTACATTTGTGAACTTTTCATTAAATGTGCTCTTTTTACAACACCAATATGAGTACATGGAATAACAAGAGTTCTTAAGTCATAAGAGCTGTGGATGATCTCCTTTCTTTTCAGCCTTATTTGTAAACTAGATCTCAAATCCTATTTCGTTAACACACTAGGCCTGTGTAGGTTGACCAGGCAGAGGACACAGAGTAGTATACTCCCTGATTTACTTCCAAATGTCCACATCAGTTCATGCTGCTCAATGTAGCATGTCTTCCTTGTTGTAACAACAACCTGAGCTCAGGCTGTCTATAAACACATCTTTCTGTCTCTTCAGCGGTATTATGACCCTTCTAGGAAGGACTCAGAGTAGCTAGTTTTGTCTAACATAACATCAATAGGCCTGGGAGGGGTGGGTGGGCTGCAGCACAGATAGGCTCAAGTGCAGATTCAGACCTGTGCTCAAAACACAGGGTGGCTGTGCTTATGTTTAACTGCTATGTTAAGCACGAGTTTGTTCCCACAAAAAACATCAAAAAGTGCCTGAAAACAACATGCAGGACAACATGCATATTCTATAGCTAAGAAAAAGCCTATAGACTAAGAGGTAAAATAAAATGATTCCATAAAGACTGGAGAGATGTTCTTTACATCAAAAGAAGCAGCACTTCATTTTTCAAAGGTTAAGACATCAGCACAGGTGACAGCATCTTTCAAAGTGCGGAGTAGATATTAACCCACTTCACTAAAGTGATGCAAATACTCAGAAAGATGTACTTCACGTGATTATGCATTATATACCAAAAGGGAAAGGAAGGAAGGAAGGAAGAAGAAATCTCCCCAGCCTTTCTGCAAATGCGTACAAAAAAGTCATTGAAAAGTCTCCCAGTATTTTGCAGTACTGGACAGTAAATCAATGTAATCTGCATTTCTGCAGTAGCAGGAAACTTTCCAAATGATTGCTATAAATGAAGCACATGTTTTACGTATAGGTTACTATTTTTGGCAGTCCATCAAACCCCTTTGATCTGTAGACAGTGGGGCTTCATCCAGCCAGCAGGACAAGAATAAAAGGCCCATATTCTGCCTTGTGCCAAGATCCACTCAGAACAGGAGATGGGAAGCCAGCTCTGGTCACACAATTCAGTGGCTGCTGAGCTTGAGCTGCAGCAGAACTACATAAGCTTAAAAAACTACATAAGATTATGTAGCTCAAATCTACCCTAATTAATCCCAGCTCATTTCAGTCCCCAAGATGTACCCATTAAGAATAGAGAGCACTCTGTTCTGGGTATCTCAGTCATTCCCTTTTGCCAGCATGGGGACAGGAATTGGCAAGAGAGCCATTTATACTGCCTTGCACTGGCTGCATGGCTGCCTACACAGGGAACATTCCCTGGGGGCCAGTTAAGTCAGTGCTTTGCAACACCTGCACAATACAAAGTGATGGAAACCAGCACAGAGAGTCTGGCCTATGAGTCCTCAAAATGGAAAAGGATAGATGAAAAAAACCCACGCCAAGGCAAGGGAAACCAGGCAGCACAGGAGGATTAGCAAGAAAAGACCAGAATGAAAATTAATAAATTGGAGCAAATCACTTCCTGACTGCAACAGAGCTGAACTTCAAAAAAGATCCACTAAGTCCATAGTGTCGCTGCCCAGGATGACCAGTGTGTGAGTGTCCTCCATCTCCTCTGGTTCCTCATCAAAGATGACGTCAAGACTTATGCCTCCCTTTTGGAACAGTTCTGGGAGTTCAAAATGGGCCTTAGTTCATTACAGCCCCTGTATAAAGGAGCAAGCAGCAAAAAGAAGTTTTGCCACATGCGATAATGCAGTGTGGGACAGGAGTGTCTGATATCTGTGATTTCATGGCTCTCCAAGTTGATTGCAACCATAGGGAGCAGCCAGTGTTGACAAAGAGAATTACAAATATCTAATTTGCCCACTACATTCTTTTTTTTCTTTTTAACTCCAAAATTCATTACAATCATGGTATTTATATAAAATACATTTTCATTAGCCCATCATCAAAGCATGCAAATCTTAACACCCCTCTGCTGTCTGAGTGACATATTTCAGGAATAACTACTCAGAAATAACTGCTGTAGATGTGTCTGGCTCCTGAACATGAAAGTATGGGTGCTGCTGACTGCCTGGCAGCTGGCCCAGCATTTAACCCTGCTGTTTTAAAATGTCGTAAAATAAGCACAATTTAATCTTTTGAAACCTTTTGGTCAGTGACTGTGATTTCCGCAAAATATGACTTCAAAGGAAAGACAGGCACCTTTGTTGATGCCTTTTTAAGCAGTCATGAGTTCCAAATTATTTTTAAAAAGGGAAGCAGAAACCTCAAAGTGTGTAACACCTCCTCAGAATTAGATGCTGAAGCGATATGTAAACTGGGCTGTAAAAATCGATCCTCCACTAGCAATGTGGCTCAGAATGATATAATTAAAAGATAATGTCAATGGAAAAAGAATATTATCATAGACTAATGGGCTCCTCCTGACATATAAATATTGCAGCAAAGCCCCTATTTTAATGAAAAAATACCATTAAGAAGCCAAGTTATTTTATTTTCAAAGCAGGATGCGTTGAAAATGTTCTATTTCTGTTGCTATATTTCTATTCTGCCAAATGTCTGACATGGAGTTAACACTTCCACCTTGCAGTGTTCATGTAACACACAGCATTCCTCTGTGCCTTGAGAGCACCATGCTTTACCTGTGTAAAAAGCAGCCTACTTCTGCATATAGTGATCCTTTTTGTTAATAAGTGGCAATCTTAATATAGACTGAAGGTTTTCTTTCCAAACTTAGATGTGGGGAAAAAAAATGTCCATATTTAATCATTTGACCTAGATCCCATTCAACTTGGTTTAGGAAACATGGACATTACTAGGCATGAAACCATTTAAGGATAAGGTGACTATTTTTCACCCAATCGAAGATGAGTTAAAAATTCCCTTTAAACACATGAGAGAGTGGATGTGGGGAAAAAAAAGAATGTGAAGATATCAATAAATAAATAATGAAACATATTTCCAATCTACAGCAAATTACTCTTTTTACCTTCACAAAAAAATAAAAAAAAAAGTAGCCTTTCTTCTCTTATTCTCAGATTTGCTATGCAAGAAATAAAGAGTGATATGAAGAGCATTTGAGCCACCAGAGTATGCTGGGATGCACTGAAAATGCCTACCACATGTGGCCTTCAAAAGTCTTACGCATCTTCTGCTTAGTTCCTAGGTTAGACCAGTCCAAGGAAGAACTGGCTGATAAGCTGTTCAGACCAGGCTGATATGGACATGATCTGGTCAACTACTGTCACCTATAGAACTTTAAAATCAAAAAGGGAGGTGCCTTGTGAGACTAGGCGCCTCCAGGATTAGACAGCAGCCAAAGCATGGGTTTCTGGAGAGCCCTTTTGGATGCTGTTCCACATACATCCTTCTTTAGGTGCCTAAGCTCTTTACTAGAGCTAGCCAGAAAGGCTACATTCCCATTGAAGACGAGAAGGATTTACATTAAGTAGATTGGTTCAGGCCTTAAAATGAGAACCACGTGTACATCCTTATGAAGAATCTGATCCCTTCTGTTTATTCATTGTGACTTCTTGCTATATTGAACCATTCACATGCATTAATCCACAAATAATGCGTCAAGAGACATTCTGGAGAGTGAGAGAGTTGTGGATGTTCATGGCCATAGTCTACTACTCTCAGTGGTTCTAGAACCATAGCAGCCATCCTGGCTAACAGGCCAGTCAAGCCACATATACCATTCAGGTCATGCATAAGCTTTGATTGTATTACTTGGTTTTGGCTCCTCGATACTTTTCCATAGAGCTGAAGAAAAGGAGGGCATATGGAATAGAGAAGCAGGAAAATTAA